AGAAGCAGAGATTCACAGCTGAGCACTGAGTCCAAACTCCTGGAGTCCAGTTGTAGAGAGGAAGGAGTGATGAGCCAAGGGGTCAAGACCATGCTGGGAAATCCCACAGAGGCAGCTGACCTGAGCATGTGGGAGCTCACAGACTCCAGACTAACAGCATAAGACCGAACTAGGGGCCGATAATTTCTTGGGGTATTTTACAGTTTTGGTTCCACAGTTTCCTCTTGGGTCTCCAGTGTTTTCTGCCCCAGGAGCTGCCTTCTCTTTAGAAGACTGGCAGGAATGTACCTTCCCTTAGGGGACTACCCCATTTCAAGCCTCTCCTAGTCCAGGCATCATTCTCAACACTCCAATGTCAGTGACACCAGGGAAATTTTCTTCTTATAGTTCCTACAACTTTTTTTTTTGAGATAGGGTATCATGCTTTCCAGGCCGGCCTTGAATTCCATCTGTAATTTTGGATGACTTTGGATTATATGGTTGTACCATATGGCCAGATTTTGAGTTTATATATGGGGTTGGTGTGTTTGTGGTATATGTGCTTGTGTGTATTTGGGTGTGGGTGTGCACACACACAGGTATGTGTAGGGGCCAAAGGAAGACATTGGAGGACGTTGGGTCCTGCTATATTATCCTATGCCTTACTCTCCCAGGAGACAGGGTTTTTCACAGAACCTGGGCTAAGATGGTGGCCACCAAGTCCTGTTTCTGCAACCCATACCTTGGTGCTAGGATTATAGGAGTGCATTTGGCCATGCTTGGATTTATATGGCTTCTGGGGATTTGAACTCAGGTTCTCATGCTTATGCAACAAGTGATCTTACCTTCTGAACCATCTTCCCAGACTCCCATGCCAACTTTTATGCCATGCTGGGTATTGAACCCAGGCCTTCCTAAATGTTAGGCAAACACTGCGCCACCACCTTAGCTGCAGCCCCATCCTTCCTGCCACTATTTAAAAATGCAAGCAGAATCCTGGAGACCACCACATTTGCCAGTGTCACAAAGGTAGTCACCAGTGGTAGGAAAAGTTGGCATTTATGGGAGGGGCAGGATATAAACATTCACAGATTGGCACTGACAACAGAGATTGGCTACCCTGGCAGTAGCAATGGCAGCCAGGAAGACCAGCCCCCGCTGCATGGAAGCAAAGCCCTTTGACATACCTTGGGTGCACTGAGTGTCTCCGGCCTTTTTATCATGGTGCTGTATGCTCCATGAATCATACGAGAAACACCATTTCTTTTACAACCCTTGGCAATCATTTACTATGTCCCCTGGCAGAGGACAGGTCAATAGACAATTGGAAAGGGAATGTTTGTTCTCTAGCTTCTCACAGCGCAAAGGAGGAGCCTCCGGTGTAAACACATCTTTACAGCATAGTGCAGTTTGTGTAAGACTGGAAGGAGGTTTGAGAGTGCTCTGGTTTCATGTCCACTGCTGTGATAAGAGATTGTGTCTGAAAGCAACTTAGAGGAGGACAGGATGTATCTCACCTTACAAGTCACAGTCCAACACAGAGGGAATTCAGGGCAGGATCTCAAGGAGGACTTTGGAGCAGAAACTACAGAGGAGTGCTGCTTGTTGGCTTACGCACAGAGTCATGCTTAGCTAGCTTTTGTTTAAGTTTTTTTTAAATTGTGGAACCCAAAGGTTTAATTTTGATTTGGAAAGGAAGAATTACAGCATGAAATGTACAGGAGATAATAGAGCACAACTAATCTGCTATGTGAATTTTAAGCATAAATTCAGAAAAGGAAACAAGTAGGAAAATATCACATTTTAAGTGTAATCCTTTGTAAACTGCTTTCAGGAAAAGTTCATCTTGGCACACAGAAAGGCAACTTTGTGTATATGGGTGTTGTGCCTGACCTGCTTAGGAATGGTGCCTCCCACAGTGGGCTGGATCCTCCTACATCAATTAGTGATCAAGGCAGTCTCCCACAGACACACCCACATCTGGGAAATCCCTCAACTGGGATTTCCTTCTCAGATGATTCTAGGCTGTGTTAAGTTGATAGTTGAAGCTAACCAGGACACAGAACTAAAGAATAAAGACAGGGGTCAGCTGTGAACTGAGCAGGGGCCTCTCAGGTAGTTTTCCAGAGAAGCTGTCCTTCAGTACAAAATTGGGAGCAGCAATTATATCACCCTCAGCTGGTCCTTCACTGATTTTCCTAGCCCTGACGGTCTCTCCTCTAGCTAGACTCCATGGAAGGGTGTGGCCATGCCCCACACCTCATTGCTACTCTAACCAAACAATAATTGGAAATGGTGTGTAAAAGTGAGGTTAGTTTTTTTCTTCCAAAGTCTCTATCACAAAGACCCTAAAGATGCCATAAGTGAAATGGTGTGCTGATAGTTGAGCGTGGTGGGGAACACCTTTAATTGCAACGTTTGGAAAATAGATGAAGGCTCATGGTCATCAGCTACATAGAGTTCAAGGCCAGCATGAGCTATGAAAGACTCTGTCTCAAAACAGCACAAAACCAGAAAGCAAGTATTGGGGTTGCAGAGGTAGCTCAGTGGTAGGATGCCCAGTATGCACCGGGTCCTGGGTTCTATTCCAGCATCAACATAAACTGTCCAAGCACAGCTTGAGTGTAGACTTCGCCATCTCTCTCTAAGCTGTTCCCTAAGTTCTCCTTATAGACTCCCCCAAGTCTTTGCCACCACGGACTTCTGAAACTTCTGTTATAGAAAGTCAAATGCCCTCCTTTTATTCTCCTCAGGGAAAGCTGGAAGGTTCCCAGTTTTACTAGGGGACTTGGGGATAGCACAGGAGGGGGAATTCAAGAACCTGAAGATGAGGAAAGTGATCATCTATGGAGGGAAGGACTTGGAGAGCACACACATTACTGCAGCTTCACCCTGCTACCCCTGCCGAGCCCACAGAACCTCTGATGCTGTTGGGTCTCATGACCTAATCTGCACCCAAATGCAGACATGGGTGGGGCTCCGAGGGGAGGTATGGTCTAGTGTGGTTTCTCTCTCCTTTCTTTATTCATGTAGTTCCTTCAACTGTTTGGTCATTCTGGTCCAGGCTCCTGTACACACAGAACTTACACACCTGGTGCCTCAGGTAGGAAGCCAGCCTTGTGTATCAGCACACTTGTTGGGGTAGGAAGGCTTGGGTCAGTTTTATTTTAGAAAACACATTGACTGGTTTCTGTGGAATTTAGAATTTCTGATAAACGTTCTCTCTCTCTCTCTCTCTCTCTCTCTCTCTGTCTCTGTCTCTCTCTTTCTTTCTTTCCTTCCTTTTTTTTTTTGAGACAGGGTTTCTCTGTGTGACCCTGGTTGTCCTGTAACTCACTTGGTGGACCAGGCTGGACTTAAACTCAAAGATCCACCTGCGTCTGCCCCTGAGTGCTTGGATTAAAGTCGTGTACCACCACTGCGCAGCTCCTGAGCTGTTTCCTGTCTACTCACTGGGAGTAAGTTCTGAACTCCGACTTCCTAAGTGGTTGTGGCACAGACACTCCATTCTTTGCTTTTATTCCTCTCCTGTCAGGTGGCTGAGATGGGCGATTCCCCAATTCAGTGTGGTTATTCCCTGATAAGCTTTCGTCTTCTGTGAAGATGCAAGCAGTGGCCGGGAGAGAGCATCCCAAGGTGTGGGGATGTGAATGCACCGGACATAGAACCCAAGGCCTGGGAGCCTGTGAGAGCTTCTTTGTCTTCCCTCAGTTTGCAGATGATACATGGAACTCTGTAGGGATTAAAGGCCCTAGTCAAGCTCACCATGGAGAGAGCAGGCATTGAGTAACAGTCAGTTCATATCTCACCTGGCTAACTTCTAAATGCTTCCAGAGTGGAGAACCTTCAGTTGGGTAGAGGCTTATTTATTTGTGTGTGTGTGTATGTAGGAATATGTATTATATTATATATTATATTTATTTATATAATATATATATATAATCATCAGGGGATGGTTCTAGTTGGTTTCCTCCACCCATCAAAGGTTCTTGGAGCAAACTCAAGTTGCCAAGCTTGTATGACAAGCTCTTTTGCCCGTTGAGCTATCTCACAAACCCTTATGTGTATTCAAATGTTTTCTTTTTCACAGTTAGTGTGTGTGCATGTGCTTGGGTGTGGAGGCCAGAGGATATAGCCTGCAGGAGATGACTCTTTCCTTCTACCTTGAGGTTTCAAATTTGTGGACTCAAGTTCATGTTGTTAGGCTTGGCAGCAGGTGACTTTGTTCACAAATCGCCCCCTTGACCCCCCTTCCTGTATTTTTGGTGTGGTGTTTGCAGCTATGAAAGCTGGCCGTAACCTCATTGTAAGTCAAGGCACACTGGACAGTTCAGTGTCATCTGTCTCTCTTACTTTTTTCTCCAGGCAGATTTCAAGAAAGGCAAACAAAGGGCTGGAGAGACGGCTCAGTAGTTAAGAGCACGGATTGCTCTTGAGGGTTTGGTTCCCAGAACACACTTTGGGCAGCTCTCAACTCTCTGTAGCTCCAGTTCTAAGGGATCTGATGCCTTCTTCTGGCCTTTTTATACAGACAAGCATCCTGCACATACATAAGTAAATGCAATGAGAAATAATAAGTCTTTTTAAAAAGGGAAAACAATAATGAGGGGGTACGTATACGAAATAATGTAGGAGGGGCACCCAGATACACCTTACCTCCTTCTGTTTTGCTTCATGCTGTCTCTTTCCTGAGTACATAAGAGCATCCTGGTGGCTGCGTCTGAATGCAGGGGCATGGCTAAGGCCAAGGTTGACTAAAAGGAGACAAAGTAGCTGGAGATAGAGTTGAGAACTATAGAGCCAACTGATGGCAAAAGTATCTTCCCTGAGTTTTATTTTATCCCTTACTGAGTCTCCAGCAACTTTGACAGCACTAGGAAGAAGTTCAAGTTGAAGTCCAAGGGGATGAACTCTGGTTGTCAAAGCAACAGAGAAGCCAATAATACTGTCCCACAACATTCATAACACTTGAGTTTGGTTACTAAATCCTATTTCTCTCCTAACCTTTCACCTAGATTGAACCATGGCCATCACTGAATATTTCTACTGGGTTGCTCCTGATAATATGACATGGGATGACTTTGAGAAAGACTTTGGAAATAGCACCAGAATGCCACCTACTGGAGATTATTTCAGCCCTTGTAAGAGAGTTCCAATCAGCAACACAAAGGCTTTAGTTGTCTTTTATGCACTGGTGTCCTTGCTGAGCTTGCTGGGAAACTCACTGGTGATGCTAGTCATCTTATACAGACGAAGGGGCTGCTCTGTTACTGATGTCTACATGCTGAACCTAGCCATTGCCGACCTCCTCTTTTCACTGACCCTGCCCTTCTGGGCGGTCTCCAAACTGAAAGGCTGGATTTTTGGCACTCCCCTGTGCAAGATGGTCTCACTCCTGAAGGAAGTCAACTTCTTCAGTGGTATCCTGCTACTGGCCTGCATCAGTGTGGACCGATACCTGGCCATCGTCCACGCCACACGCACGCTGACCCAAAAGCGCCACTTGGTTAAATTCATATGTCTAGGCATCTGGGGTCTATCTTTGATTCTGTCCCTGCCCTCTGCCATCTTCCGCCAGGCATATAAACCATACGGCTCTGGAGCAATCTGCTACGAGGTCCTGGGTGGAGACACAACAAACTTTCGGATAATGTTGCGTGGCCTGTCCCACACGTTTGGCTTCCTCGCGCCGCTTCTGATCATGCTGTTCTGCTACGGGCTCACACTGCGCACACTCTTTAAGGCCCGTGCCGGGCAGAAGCACCGGGCCATGCGGGTCATCTTTGCTGTTGTGCTTGTCTTCCTGCTCTGCTGGCTGCCCTACAACCTGGTGCTGCTTTCAGACACTCTCTTAGGAACCCACTTAATTGAGGACACCTGCGAGCGCCGCAACGCCCTTGACCAGGCCCTGTATATCACTGAGATCCTGGGCTTTTCTCACAGTTGCCTCAACCCCATCATCTATGCCTTCGTTGGCCAAAATTTTCGCCACGAATTCCTCAGGTTCCTTGTTAACTGCGGCCTGATTCGAAAGGAGTTTTTGACACATCCTCGTGCTACCTTTTGAGCACCTCTCACTGTTAAACCTCTGAAAATTAACAGAGAGTACTATCACTCCCTCAGGGAGAGAATAACTATCGTGCTAATGTGTTGTGCTGTGTGCACGCATGAGTGTGTGTGTGTGTGTGCAGTATGTCTATGGACAGATACTATCTGGTATGTGGAGGGAGGTGACAGGATCAGGAGAAGTTAGTGACAACTGTCTGTAGGGCCCACACCTACTTTCTGTGTTGGTACTGATAGCCCTCCAAGGACTGCCTGTATACTTCCATGAGAAAGAATGTCACCATTTCTGTTGAACACATACCTCTTTGACTTGTGATCTGGGTAATGATTGTGGTCACATCTGTAGCCTAACTCCGTGAGAACAAAGACCTGGAGCTTGCATATAGCATTAACCCTCATGGGTTGGACTCTCTCCTTGGAGCCTCACCGGGACTGCTCGGCACATTCCAGCAGGCTGTCTAGTAACTCTTTGTCCTGTGATCTGAGTTCACAAAACTGTTTTCCCATCTTGGGGAATGTCGCAATGCCTGCTGAGGACATCAGTCAGGTGCTGCTGAAGCACCAAGCCACCAGGCGGCCTTGTGATGGAGCTGAAGAAGTCTTCCCTTTACGTGTCATGGGTGGACAAAGGGTGTTTGGGAAACCAGGCCTGAGAATCCCCTTTACCTCGTGACCAGAGTCACAGAGGGGGATGTGTGTGTTGGGTACCAGCTGAGCCAAGGATGGAGCAAGACTGGCAGCTAACTTTTGCCCTCTTGGCACTTCCAGTTTGACAGGAACAACAACTTTATAAGCCAAAATATAGCTGTCAGCTGGCTGGACAGGCGGCTATTTCCAACAAAATTTCCATTCTATGTTTGTTCACGTGAAAGTACCTTGAGTATGAGCCACAGAGTATAAGTTGTGTGTGGAGTGGCTGGTGGTTCCTGCTGTCGACGGGGTTAGCTGTCCTCACTGACTCTGGGCTAGAGGCTTTACTCCCTGCTAGAGCCATCTTTGCAGGCATCACATCTCACGTTCAGGAGGGTCTCCTTGTCCCTCATATGTGAAAATGTGTGCATTCTGCTTTATGTCTACAAATAACCATTGTCTCCTGAAGTGACCTGGCCTGTCTTCGCTAAGTTATATCAAGTGACTTCCTCACCTTCAAATGACTTCAAGAAATTGTGTTTGGGACTAGAGAGAAGGCTCAGTGGTTAAGAGCACTTGCTGCTCTTTCAGAGGACCCAGGTTCAAGTCCCAGCACCCACATAGTGGCTCACAACCTATAATCTATAACTTAGGTCCCAGGGGATCCAATGCCCTCTTCTGACTTCTGTAGGCATTAGATATGCACAGTAGAAACAGAAATTCCCACTAGCGTAAAGCAAAATGGAGAAGGTACTGGACTGTGTGGGGATGGGGAGGGACCAGCATGGCCCGAGGTGGGACTGCAGTGAAAAGCTGGGACTGGGATCAGGGAACAATGCTGGAGTAAGCCTGGGGGTGGGTACAGGGCTGGGTGACAGTTTGGCATAAAGTAAGGTCAGAGGGACAGCTCTCAGTAATAAGGGGGGAAATCTAGACATGGGGAGACTGAGAGTGACAGAGTAAGATTTAGGGACCTGTTGAGGGTTGGAGGCAAGGAGAGTCCAGCTAGGGCCTGGACCAGGTCAGGACTAGAGGAAGGCCTACGAGAATGTCAGAAATGGGATGAGAGCCAGTGATTATTGAAGCTACCTCATAGGTAGGGTGTTAGTGTTCAGACGTCTGTACTGGCCTGACTTTGGTGTTGCGATAGGACATGTCCACAGTTGCAGCCACTAAGAGCACCACCTGTGCACATCCACTATGTTCCCTTTTAAGAGGGCCCTGCCCACCTCCCGTCTTCCCCTACCCTCCCTTTCCCCTTTCTCTCCGCCCATCTCTCTGTCTCTTCCCCTTCTTTCTTCCCCTCTCTCTGTGTATCATTTTCTGCTGCTCCCGTCCCCAGAGGCTGGTCTCCCCCATTCTCCCTTTCCCCTAATAAAAAACCCCTCCACATGAACTGTGTCACATAGTGTCTTTCTCTCTTGCGGCACTTTAAAAAAATTTACAACATAGTGTCATCATCCTCTTTGGAATATTATCTCAGACACAACTTCCTGAGTCAGGATAGAGGCTCCTTGGAGGTAGGGGAGGAGTCAGGGGCTTGAGCCCATGGCGATAGATCTGAGTCAGGGGAGAGGATGCTTTAGCTCTGTTTCCTACACTTCATGAGCTCTATTGCCTATAGCAGTAATTCCAGTGGACAGGTGGAGTACTCTCGCATGCTAAGAACTATGCTGAAGGACTTACTATTGAGAACAGCTGTGGGTGGGTTAGGGGAGATCTAAGAAATTCAGCAGAAGAAACCCTGTCTCGTAAAACCAAAAAAAAAAAAAAAAAAAGAAATTCAGCAGAGCCTAAGCAAAGGTAAGAGAGACAGGGCACAGCCTGGGCCAGTGGGCCAAGCCTGGAAGGGTATTGAGTGCTTTGAAAACCTTACGCCATAGCTTGTGTCCAGCCCGGGTTGAGCCTAAAGTTTATGTAATGAAGTCAGGTGGCTTCCTTGAGCTGGCTGTTGGCTTAGACACCCACACTGGGATCCTGTTAGGAGGCGGTAGCAGAAACGGGGAGGGTATGGACAAGCTACTGACAGTGGCGGAAGGAGCTCAGGGTAGAGACTCAAAGACCATTCAGCAAGACCGAAATTCCAACTGAGAGTCTGTTGTAAGCCAGCCTGCAACTGTGTTCAGAGAAGCATTTCTCACAGAGCAGCCCGAATGCATATTACAGGGAAGGTTTGCTTGTTTTTTAAACAACACACACACACACACACACACACACACACACACACACACACACACACACACACGCACGCACGCACACACGCGCACACACACACACAATAGTACATCCTGCTTGCAGGGGGAAGCAAGCAAGCAGTTTAAGAAGAGCCAAGAAGCCAGGCAGTGGTGACACACACCTTTAATCCTTTAATCCCATCACTTGGGAGGCAGAGGCAGGTGGATCTTTGTGTGTTCAAGGCCAGCCTGGTCTAAAAGTGAGTTCCAGGACAGCCAGGGCTGTTACACAGAGAAACCCTGTCTTGAAAAAGCAAAAACAAAACAAAACAAACACAAGAGCTAAGAACATGCAGTTAGCTGGGGTGTTTCAACCTTGAGTTTCTAGAATGGGGTTTGGGTGCTTTCCCACAGGACTTTTCAGGGTGGGTGGGCTGGGTTAAAAAGAGGGGGGGTCAGTTTCAGTTTAAACCAAAGATAGTTTCATCTGAGACAAGGCGGAGCAAACTTCTTCCCTGTTACAAGGAGAGTCTTCAAGGAGAGACCAGGAGGAAATGAAACAGTGAGTGGGGATGAGGAAGGATTCTTCAACTTCTGTCTGGATGACAGTTAGAAGTGGTAGGCGGAGCCGGGCGTTGGTGGCGCACGCCTTTAATCCCAGCATTCGGGAGGCAGAGGCAGGCGGATCTCTGTGAGTTCGAGACCAGCCTGGACTACCAAGCGAGTTCCAGGACAGCCTCCAAAGCCACAGAGAAACCCTGTCTCGAAAAATAAAAAAACAAACAAACAAACAAACAAAAAAGAAGTGGTAGGCGGTGTATGCATTTTATTGTAGTATTTAGGTGGCAGAGGTAGGGGGATCTCTGTGGGTTTGAGGCCAGCCAGGGCTATGGAGAAAGACCCTGTTTAAAAAAAAAAGCAAGAAGAAGTAAAGAAAAGAAAAAGAAAAATCCCAGGTGAGTGTGGTCTTTAGTTCCAGCACTTGGGAGACAGAGGCAGGATCTCAGAGTTTGAGGTCAGCCTGGTCTACAGAGAGAGTTCCAGAATAGTCAGGGCTACACAGAGAAACCCTGTCTCAAAACAACAACAACAACAACAACAACAAAAAAGGCGATGTGGGGGGTGGAGGATGGGGGTGGCGGTTGGGGGTGTTTGCAGGAAAAGGCTGCCTTCTATTTGTAGAGTACAAGCAGATATACCCAATTACATGGGGGCAAGCTAGATCTGAAAGCCTGGGAGGGATCTGGCTAGCTTGGACTCACATTATTGGTGGCAGATTGTGAAAGCTACCAGAGAGGGTAGAAAACAGACAGATAAAAAGATAAAAAGAGATGAGTTCAGAGAATGCCAGTATTCAGGGGACTGAAAGAGGAAGAGGGGGTCTTCCAAAGAGACTAAAAGGGGCTGGGATGTGGTTCAATTGGTCCAGTGGTAACCTAGCATGAATGAAGCCCTGCAGTCCTTAGACATGCTGGGACATATCTGTAATCCCAGCACCTGGGCGGTGGAGGCAGGAGCATGAGGAGTTCAAGTTCAGCTTCAGCTGCATAGCACGCATCACTACCTGGCACTACATTTATGTTTAGTTGTTTGCTGTATCTGCTGGGACCACTTCAGCATTCTCATTATCGGGCAAATGATGAGTTTAGTAATATGCTTCACACACACACACACACACACACACACACACACACACACACACACACACACACTTGTTGACTATATTTGCTATACTAGATTTTAGATTTATTAGAGTAGCTTGCAGGCTGTCTCCTGACAGAAAGGCCAAATCTGGTAGTTCAGTCTCTAAGGTGGATGTGTCAGCAGTCCCAGTTTGGTGCTGGAGTCTCAGGGAATTCCTAGAGAGCTTCGGTCTTCAGTCTACACTGGAATCCCAAAGAAGTAGGTGATGACTCGGGTGAAGGAATGACTCAGCAGCAGGGTAGATGAACTGGCAGGCGATAAGCAAACGTCCTCTTCCATGTGCTTTTCACGTGGGCTGCCACCAGGAGGTGTGACCCAGACTGAGGTCTGTCATCCCATCTCAAATGATTCAGTCAGGAGAGTTCCTCAGTTCATTCCAGATGCGGTCAAGTTAACAGTCAAGTGTAGCCATGAGAGCTCCTCAGACCAAATTGTTACATCCACCCGGACTCTACTTCTATGTATGTATCCTGATGAGACCGTCCAGGTGACCCAAGAATGTAGCTCAGTGGGCAAGTGCTTGCCTAACCCACCTGAAGCCCTGGGTTTCATGCCCAGCACCACATAAACAAGGCGTAGTGGCATGCGCCTATCGTCCTGGCATTCCCGAGGATGACAGTTTTTCTTGCTTCCAAGTCCTGTTGAAGAAGACACGTCTGTTCTTCATGAAGTCTTCATTGTAAAAAATGTTCATCTACAGCCTCCTTGGCGGCAACGAAGTGTTCTGATAACCCGATAGACCATGTGTCATTTAAATGATCAGTTAAATGATCACCACATCTGTCAGGTCTGAACCTTTTTTAAACATTAATTTGTTATTATTTATTTTTTTAGTTTATGTGGATTGGTGTTTTGTCTACATGTATGTCTGCGTGAAGGTGCTGGATTCCCTGGAACTGGAGTTACAGACAGTTGTGAGCTGCCGTGTGGGTGCTGGGAAGTGATCCTGGGTCCACTGAAAGAGTGGCTTGTGCTCTTAACCTCTGAGTCATCACTCCAGCACCAAGCCTGAACCTTTAGAGTATGGGATCTGGCTAACTTTGGCTGTGAAAGTTGAATTAAACTGTTGGACACCCAGCTCGTGTCTGGAGACACAGAGAATTGGTTGGTGTGGGAAGAGACCCCCAAATCCTTGGTGTTGAAGAGTTGCAAGTAAAAATCACAAAGAAGTCGTGCACGACCGTATGGGTATCATAGCTGCTGCTTCCCCTGGCGGATCTGGGTCATTCCTAGTTTTTAGCTATGGTGAGTATTGTTACCGTTAGCATTCAGAGATGTCTTTGGGTAACTTCTGAGGGAGTGGGGAGACGCCTCAGTTGATAAAGCACATGCCTTACAAGTGTGACGACCTGAACCCCTGAACCCACACGAGATGCTGGGTGTGGTGATGCACCTTGTGAAATAGGGCAGAGAAAGCAGAGCAAAGCCCTGGGGCCTATGAGCAGCCGGCTTGGTAAGCTCCAGGTCGGTGAGGGACCTTGCTTGAAAAAACAAAGTGGGGAGCTGATACACATACACTGCTGCAGGTACTGCCATGCGAGGAACATTTTGTAGATCACTTTGCTTAATTTTGTCTTGTTATTTTGAGACAGGGTCTCTATGCAGCCCAGGCTGGCCTCAAATTGTCTATGCAGCTAAGAATGATCTTAAACTTTTGGTCCCCTTGCTTCCCCCCACTGAGTGGTGGAGTAATAGGCACTCACCATCATGCTTAATTTAAAGACTACTATTAATTGAAACAAGGTCAAAATAGAGAATCAGAGTCCCAGAGTTCCGGGAAGTAAATGTCCTATCCTCTTGGAATATCATTCTTCCTTAGGATGGACACTAGAAGTGAGAGGAAGCCAGGCACTGACCTCCAGCCACTCAGGAGGATGAGGCAAGAGTATTCCAAACTGCAGGCCAGCTTGCACTGACAAGACCTTGTCTCAAACAAACAAAGAATGAACAGACAGACAGAACACAAGACAGTTCGAGGCACGGAGGTACATACCTGAAATCAACATTTGGGAGGTGGAGACAGAGGATCAGGTCATAGTTCACTACATGGTTAATTTCGAGGCCAGCTTGGGCTACTTGAGACCATGTCTCAGAACTCACTTTCCACGCCGCTGCCATCCATCCAAAGGTGGTAAATAAAGATATACCAAAAGCCCATACACATCAGAAATGACCTCAGAATCCTTTTTTTTTTTTTTTGGGCTGGGTTGGAAATGTAGTTTAGCTGCAGAGTTTATCTAACACAAGTGAGTTCTTGAATTCCATCCCCAGTACAAAAAAAAGGCATAAATTATTCCTCTGGGCAAAGATAGACATAATAAAGTCTTAATTTATTTAGTAATATTTAGAGTTTATTATAGTCTTAACTATTTAAAAATTATGACTGAGACTGTTCTTAGAGTATA